CCAGTATGAAGTTTGTGCCTCTGGATCTAGAACCATTTTCAAAAATTACCAAGTTTTCAGAGATACTATGAGATCAGAATATAAAGACACAGAAACTGTTGGAATGACACTGCCTAAAGTTGATGACACTCAGGGGGCTATCTACATTCAGAAACCATATTCAGAAACAGGATCTCTGGAGTCGAGTCCTGGACCAAGAATGCAATATGAGAAATCAGAGTCATTAAAGCAAGGTTTGAAATGTGTAGAATTAACCTCTGAATCATCACCATTAGTGGTAGGATCTACAAAGTTAACTACAGGATCTAAACCACATGTTAAAGATTTGGTCTTAGGGTCACAGCTCCAGGAAGTGAAGCCTAAGCAAATGGACCCAGAATCACAGATGCAAGATGAGAAATCTGTGCATTTAACTCAACAGCCAGCTCTAGGAGTGGTAGATCCTCAAAAGCCAAAACTACAGCCAGGGCTACAAAGTTTACCCCTGGAGGAAATGGCTGAGGGGACACAGCCCCAAACTGTGAAATGTGTGGATTTAAATCTAGGTCTACAGCAGTCAAGTGTCAAATCTGGATTGATTCCAGGGCCACAGTTATGAAGTGTCAGATTTCCAAAGTTATCTCTAGGATTATTTCATCAAAGAGAAAAACCCATAAATTTAATATCCAGGTCCCCACATTACAGTGTGAAATCTGATGAAATGGTATCATGTTCCTCAGTACAAGAAATCAGATCAGCAGATTTTATTCCAGGGCCAAAGCTTACAGAAGCAAGGTAAGAGTTCTGAGACTTTTGTACCAGAGCCACTGCTTCAAGTTAAGTATATGGACGTACTTCAAGGACCTCAGCTGCAAGGTACAAAACCCAAGGAGCTGACTTCACACACACAAATGCAAGCTATGAAACGTGTGGAGATTATTCCATGCTTGAAACAGCAACATCTAAAATCTGTGGATGTAGCCAGAACACAAGGAATCCAAGGAGTAAAATTTGTGGATTTAGCCCCACCACAACAGTGTCAAGGAATGGCACCAGTGGATTTAACTCTTGAGCCTGAACGGGATGGCCAGATACCTGTAAGCTCACCAGAGTGGAAATGTGTGAATTTCAACCAGCTGAAGAGACAGTTTGAGTCAAAAAATATACCATCTTTGGAGTCAATTCCAGAAACAAAATCTAAAGATATAAAATGCATAGAACTAAACTCCAAGGTACAATCAAAACATATGAAATCATTGGAATTGGCTCCTGAACCAGTTGTTGAAAATGTAAAAGCTAAAGAATTCAAATATGAACCACAGTTACAAAATGTAAAATCTGCCGGGTTGACCCCAGGATCACAGATGTACCAAGTGAAAGCCTTGGTGCCAACTCTGGAGCCAGAGCTTCAAGGTGCGAAAACGATAGAGCTAAACAAAGAACCACAGTTTGGAAGTACAAAATCTGTTCAATGGCTACCAATACCCGAGTTCCATGGTGAAAAATTTGTAGGGTCAAACCTTAGGTCACAGTCTCAAGGTGCTGAATGTACAGAATTGAAGCCACCTACACACTGGAGAGGTATGAAGTCATCTGAATGGACTGTGAGACCCAAACATCAAGGAGCAAAATCTGTGGAGTCTAAACTTGAGTCACAGTTGCAGCAACTGAAAACTTCTATGATGTCCCTAGCACTAGACTTTCAAAAGAAAAATTTTACTTCAATTTCAGCACCACCACTTGAAGGTGCAATAACTGGGAAGTTAAACAAAGAACGACAGCATGGAAATACAAGATCTATTCAGTGGCTACCAGGACCTGAGATCCAAGGTATGAAGTTTTTAGGATTAAATCTTAGGTCACAATCTCAAGGTGACAAATCTACAAGAATGAAGCGATCCACACAATTGGGAGGTATGAAGCCAAAAATTCAAGGAGAAAAATCTATGGAAGTTAATCTTGGGCCACTGGTACAGTGCGTGGAAACCCCTGCACTGTCCCCAGGACTAGAGCTACAAAAAGAGAAAATTTTTTCATCAACCTCAGAGCCATAGCCACAAATTGTGAAAACTATGGGGTTAGGCCATGAACCACAGCTTGTAAATACAAAATCTATTCAGTGAATACCAGGACCTGAGTTCCAAGGTATGAAGTTTTTAGGATTAAATGTTGAGTCAAAATCTCAAAAGGTCAAACCTAAAGAATTAATGCCATCCCTACATTTGGGAGGTGTAAAGCCATCTGAAACGGCTCTTGGGCCAAAACCTCAAGGTGAAAAATCAATGGAACTTAATCTTGGGCCACAAGTACAGAGTGTGGAAATCCCTACATGGTTCCCAGGACCAGATCCACAAAAAGGGGAAAAATTTTCATGAACCTCAGAGCCACAGCCTCAACATGTGAAAACTGTGGTGTTAAACTATGGATCACAGCTTACAAACACAAAATCTACTGAGTGGATATCAGTGCCTGAGTTCAAAGTTAAGAAGCCTATGTTGAATCCTGGGTTACAATCTCAAGATGTCACAACTATAGAGTTGGAGCCTTCAGTACAATTAAGAGATGTGAAGACATCCATGTTGACTACAAGGCCAAAACTACAAGGTAGACAACCTTTAGTGTCAGACCAGGAACATCAGCTTCACAGGTTCAAGCCAGGTATTAACACCAGAGTCAACCAGGAAGTTCTTAAAAGAACCAGCACTAGCTAATGTCAAATTTTCAAGTTTGGTTCCAGAACCACAGCAACAATCTTCAGCATTTACTTCAGAGCCAAAGTGGCAAAGTGTAAAACATGTGAAATTGTCCTCAGTGTCTCTGCCGCAAACTGTAAAATCTGTGGATTTACCACCAAGGTCCTTGCTTCGAAGTGTGAAATCTGGGAATGTGAAATCTGGGAAGCAACCCCTGCAAACAAATGATCAAATCACAGAATCCTCTAAAATAATACATAGACCAGGGCATCAGTCTGAAGAATGTGCAGCGATAATCTCAAAGGCATGGCATCAGATCCCTAAATTGGTAAATTTGAGTTCAGTACCAATTTCAGGATCTTCAGAAATGACAAAAAGATTGGTACATAAAAGCACAGAAACTGCAGAGAAATCTGGGAGGTTAACCCCAAAGCCAGCAAAGAAAGCCACGGACTCTTTAGGGATGCTTCCACAGCTAGATCTTCAAGGATCAGAATTTGTGGCTCTGACTCCAATACTAAGCAAAGTTCAAAATCCTTAGAACTAATCCCGGAGAAAACTCTGGAGCTGCCTTCTCAGTCATGGCCTCAATTGAAAGACTTTGAGGAGTTTCATACAAAACAAGTTGCTGGATCAGAAAACACGACTCTGGATCTCAAGTATCATATCGCAAAAGTGATAGGGTTGGCTCCTGAAGCAAGACTGCAAGGGAATGAATTGCTCAGAAAGACTCCAAAGCCAGTAAGTCAAGAGACTGAATATGTAAAACTCAGAGGCCCTGTTCTCAAGAACCTGTGGAAGCAGATATATCCAAGGAAGGAACCAAGAGGAAACACATGGCGGAATTAGAGGATTCACTCCACACCTATTCTCCATCTCCACTGAAATTACCACCTGACAGTTTTCAGGCAGGATCAGGGGTTCAAAGAGGTCCTACTCATTCTTTCCTGGGCAGACAACGGAATGTCTGGGAAAATCATACCTGTAAGCCAGAGTTTGCTAGAGAAGGGTCCACGTTCTATGTCACAAACTTCAGTAGCCAAAAACTATATTCAGAGGCATATTTTATGCCATGGTCTTGAAAAAAGACTGCCCCTAAGGATGTGGACACGTGGCTCCCCATCTTCCATAATTCAACAATACTCTGGGACTAGACTGGGAATAAAGAAAACAAACTCAAAGATCACTGATGTAGTCCAAACAATCTCTCAGAACATGCCTGTCATGCCTCTCTCATATTCAGGGGTCCAGATTCCCACCTTAGTAAAGTCAGAGTCTGCTCTTAGGATATTTTACAATAGAGAAGATACTATTCCCGTGGAAGAGAATAAAAACTCACAGAGTGATTCACAGACAAGGATTTTTGAGTCCCAACACTCCCTCAAGTCAACTTATCCTTCCAAAGTCAAGGCTGACTTCTCAGAACAGTTCCACATGCTAAAAGATCTGCAGCTAAAAATAGCAGCAAAACTCTTAAGGAGTCAAATACCCCATAATGTCCCTCCACCTCTAGGTTCAGGTCTTGTCCTAAAATATCCTATCTGCTTGCAGTGTGGCCGGTGCTCAGGATTTAATTGCTGTCATAAATCACAGTCTACTTTGGGGTCTTATCTTCTTATCTACCCACAACTCCACCTTTCAAGCACTCCCGAAGGCCAGGGTGAGCTTCGGTTGCATCTTGGCTTTAGATTGCGAATGGGGAAGAAGGTCACTGTATCACCATCACAAAGGAAAGCTAAAATCTATAATTCAGTTTCCAAGAATCCTCCTCCTTCAAGATATTTCCAGTCTGGATCTTCCCAGTCCCCACCTTCTGCACAAGTCCACATTAGGCAAAAGCATGGTGTGGTAGGAAAGAGAGAAATCAAAGAGTCTGGGCACTATGAATTCTGTCAAGTTCATCCCTTATCAGAGAGTGGCTTTGAACGTAATCGGGATGACAGATGGGCAAAAGTGCGCATCAAAAAGAGCTCTGACTTGAAATATCCAATGAAGAGAGTCACCAAGGGACTCAGAACACAAAACACAAAGCTCTCCAAAGACAGTACTGGAGAACTGCCAGACCCTTTAAGAAGGAAGAATATTGAAATAACTCAAACAAGTACTGCTTCCTCAAAAAGGCAACCTAAGAAATCTTCCCAGCCCAGGTTCATGCAGCTGCTTTTCCAGGGTCTGAGGCAGGCATTCCAATCGGCATATAGAATGGTAGCAGCTACTGGACAAAAGTCTAAGCCAGACAATTTGTTGTCAAGCAGAAACTACCATCCAAATCCAAAAGTCAAGGATTATCACTTACCAGGAAATAGCAACCTGCCAGCTCCAACCACTAAGCAAGAGGACCTATTACAGGGAACAAGTGACAAATGCAGAAAAGCTCAACAGCCAAAAAGAGCAAGTGCTTCCCAACCCAGAGTTCTCCAAGTGCCCGAGACCATAGTCTCTGAAACAGACATCACTATACAAACGACCTCAAGCCTACAGCCTTTGAGTGTAGTTCAAAATGTCCACAGGAGAACAGTTAAAAACTTTTGTAGTGACGAAATCTCCGGCCTAGAGCCCAAGAACATTCTCAAACCAGGAGCCAAATTTCAGGCCCAAGAGAGAATTCTACCAGGTTCCCTTTTGGAGAAAACCCTACACTTTACAGATGGACACACACACAAAGAAGGGAACCAGCACAGCTTGTACAGGGGGGAGAGCCCTCTGCACCCAACTTTCTGAAAGGAGCCATCGAACTCCCCCTGGGAGGAGACACCGAAGTCCCTCGGGGAGAAAGCATGGCAGTTCCTCTGAGAGAATCCTTAGAAGTCGCTCTGAGGGGCGCCATCACAGTCCCTCCACGAGGAGACCACCCAGGTCCTCTGGGAGGAGCCCTCGCAGTCCCTCCGAGAGGAAACGACACAAGGGCCCACACAGTCATTCCGACAGGCGCCAGCACAGTCATGAGAGAGGTCCCAGTCCCTCAAAAAGGAGCCATCTCAGTCGCAAATGGAGGCCAAGTTACAGCCCCTCAGACGAGAGCCATGGCAGTCTCGCTGACAGAACCTTTTCCAGTCCCGTTGGCATGAGAAGACACAGTTCCTCTGGAAGAAGCCACCACAGTCTCTCTAGGCGGAAGTCGCACAGGTCCTCTGGGAAGATCCATCGCAGCCACTCTCAAAGAACTCATTACAGCCCCTCCGAGAGGGGTCGGCGCTATCACTCCGAGAGGCACTCACACAGTCCCAAGGAGAGGCTTCAGCACTGTTCCCCACAGGAAAGGTCCAGGCACAGTTTGTCCAAACAGCTCAAGACTTATTTTAGTATGTCTCCTAGGGATCACAGTAAGAAACCCAAAAGCTGGGCACGTTCAGAGGCCTGAAGTTAGTAGATCAGGAGAGATCTGCCCCTATTAGAGAGATCTCAAGTCTTCACCTAGCTGCCCCTTCCTGCCTTCTTTCCTGCTCAGCCACTGCCTCCAGGTGTGCACCCCGAGACATGAAAGGGCTTGACCTGAGGAGAAGGGTGAGAGGTAATTTCGCCAAGATTAATAAAGGGCCAGTGAATGAACTCTGCATCTATGAGACCGTTGGTGTGGTGGGTGGGTGGAACTCCGCGTGCTGCAAAGCCGTTAAACGGCCGAGTGACATCCCTTGCCTCCGCCCATTGGCTCCAACCCTCCCCTGGACCCTCATCCTCGGCTCCCGTTGCGACGGGGGACGGGGTCTGCAAGGAATCAGACGGTGACTCATCACGTGACTTTTCCCAGCCGCAGCCCTCCCGACTCCCCTGTCCCGGCTCCTCGGAAACTGCTAGGCTGAAGTAGACGTTCTGAACAGGGCTAGGCGGCGCCGAGAACACATCCGGGAGAGGCGAGGAGAGCGGAAGTGGCGTTGGTGTGGCCGGAGCCCTTGAGTGAAATTGTTAGGCGTGGAGGAGGAGTGATGTCTTCCAGACTCGGTGCAGTCCCCGCCGTGAGTTTCTGGATGTGACCGTAGTAGACTCCCAGAGCAAGTAGACTAGCAAAAATAACCTTACCAGTGAGCTCTGGGTTTGACTGAGACACCCTACCTTCAGAAGGTGCAAGAGCAATTGAGGGTGAATCCTGGCATCACCCACAGACCTCCATGTGCACACATGAAAAAATGGAAGAAGGAAAAAAATTATCTTATAAAATAGTAGGTTGCCATATGGCTTTTTCATGCATGCTTAGTTTTAGTTGATCTCCTACTCTCCTCTCTCCATTCCTCTCACTCCCAACTCATTTTAAACCTTTCCTCTTCCAGTATTCTCCCCTTTTTTCATTTTAAAGTCCAGGTTTCTCTTTGGTATTTTTTTTTTTTGGACTGGAATAATTTGCTTTCCTATTTCTTGCACAGAAGATCTAAGAACAAATTCTTGGATTTTTGTTTTTGTTTTTTCTTTTCATCTAAAGAAATATTGTTTAGGATATTCTCAGTGAAGATAGAATTCTGAATTGACAAATCTTTTCTTTCAAGATTTTAAAAACATTGTTGCACTGCCTTCTGGCCTCTTTGGTTTCTTGGGAAAGCTGTCATCCTAGGAATCACTGTTCCTTGTAATATAAAATGTTACTTTTCTGAAGCTATGCTCTAGATCCTTTTGAAAAGTTTTTGTTTTGAATAGTTTAAGATGCATCTAGCTTTGCTCTGTTTTGAGCAACACTGGGGATCCAGTGTTCCCTCTAATCTCCACAGGCATTGCATAAGTGTAGTGCACTTAATATACATGCAGGCAAAATACAAATAAATAAAATTAATTTAAGATTTTTTAATAAGGGCTGGAGAGATGGGTCAGAAGTTAAGACCATTGGCTGCTCTTGCAGAGGACCTGGGTT